CTAACGTGCCTGGATAGCCGAGTGGTTACGACGCCCACCTACGAAAAGTGGGAACGCGGGCTCGAGTCGGTCTCGACGAAATATCTATGTTTTTCTCTAGCTTTCTTTCCATTCCTCTGTACTTGTTCTCTCAATCCCACGCCAGAAAAATCGCCACACGTGCTAGAAGACAGGACGAAGAGAGCGCGTGCCTGTTCATGACAATAATTTCCTTTTACGTCACGGACAAATGGTTTGGTATTGTTTATTGTTATCACGTTTCCCGCCGACTCGAACAGGCACTTTATATATATATATATAATATATATATATATATATATATATATATATATATATATATATATATATATATATATATATATATATATATATATATATATATATATATATATATATATATATATATATATCCAACAGAAAAAATTCCAACAGAATGGGGTCAGCGGACATGCACCGACGTGCTTCACTTGGTTCGGATTCTGGATAGCGTCCTAGAGTGACTGGCTATGAGAGAATTGACATAAGTGCGACCACCTGGAGTTCTTTAATGTGCACCTCCGTCACACAGTACACATGGCTCTTAATAATTTTGCAAATGAAATGCGCCTACTGCAACCGAAATCGAACCCGCATCATTCGGGTGAGCAGCGTGGCCCTGTAACCACTGAGCCTGCGCAGTGGCAGTCGGCAGTTTATAATGAATATTACGAATCAAGTAGTCTCTAACATTTGTGACTTGCATGCACAAAAAGGTTTCATCCATGGCAAAATATGAGAAGAGCTGTGAAGAACATGGCCATACATTAACTGGGTTACAATTAGCTGTGACCTCTATAGAGATCGACCCTGTATGATTGACTACTTTGTCCACCAAGTCAACTTTCCTTGACCAATTAGCAATCCTTTTGCGGCAAGTATCACAATACAATAGGCAGTTTGAGCAAGGTAATAAAATAAGGAATACAACACACACTTTTTGCAATAAATATGGAGAAATGAATGCAGAGTGAGACAACCATTATCCACGGTTTTACATAAGCAACACCTTTAACGCCACCAAATAGTATCGCGACACAACAAGGCTCAATATCAATAACCACACACAATGGACATCAGCTTAGTGATAAATACCACCCAGAACAATAAATATGACTGCTGTTATGCAATTTTCACACATATAAGTGCTAATAAATAATACTTTCATGCAGTTCTATCTTAAGGTCAACAAAACTAATAATTACTAATTAATTAAGGATGATGACACTAACAAGTGGATACATCTACAGTAAGAGACTTAGCCCAGATTTCCATTATTCGTTTTCACATAAAAAATAAATTCATGTAGTCGCGTCTCGGCTTTACCACCCCACGACTTTTTTTGCCAGACTGTGTGCATGCATTTCAAGAAACTTTCCACAATAAGATCAAATAAGCGCCCCGAATCCTTCGCGAGCCATGTGTAGCACAAGTGAGCATCACAAACATCCAGCCAATGATGATTTTGGGGCCCTACAAGCTCATTACAGCTTAGATTACCTATTACAGCTTATTTACCTATTATTGGGCTTATACCCTGCCATAAAATTTAGTAGTCATAGAATGACCTCCTTATTCTATTGTACTTGGTTGCCTCAATTATTCTGCAAATTGCATAACCAGTGCATCATTGAATGTTTCCAACCCTTTACAAAATGCACATAACGCCTTGCAAATGTGTAGTGGGTACTTCGCTTCTCTCAGAACTGTAATAATGACGTATGGGGTGCTTCCCAACTTGACACAAATTATAATTTTAGACGCAAAGGATAAATTGGAATCATAGTTGTATTAGTAGCCCAAAAGGCTACACTTCCAGCTTTCGCTGTGAATGCGATGTGCTTTCCCTACAGGCCTGGCGTTTATTTTGAAATCATAGAATGCAATATATATATGAAGTCGACCAGTTCTGCCACGTGTAACGGATTCCCTTCTTCTAAAGCTGAACAGTTCAGCTTAATTATCTTCTGCCAGTCAATCATTCTGCTGAAGGAACGCAAACCTAACTTCCTTGCCCTTCAGCCAGCTTCTGGCCAACTATACAGTACCACACCCTCGGGAAATCAAGTTCATGCAGCAATGAGTTGTTGCAGTTGATTTTATACCATTAATAGTACTATGAAACTTATTATCGATAGTTCTGATTCACTAGTATTTATACATGTTCCAAGTATGCCTTGGTTACTCAATGCTCCAGAAGCCTGCTGGTATATCTTATGAGTCACATGCATTTTCATTGTCTGTGAAAGCTATATGAAAGCATTTTTGTACTCTGCAGATGTCCCAATTACCTGGTTGATCACACCACTATGATCCATCATAGAGTACGTCGTCCTCAGATAGCTTGCTTGCTCTTTACCTAGGTTATTTTTTATAATCCTGAAAGTAAATGCATTGGTCTGTAATGATTTAAATCTTTTGTATCTCATTTATTGTGTATATTGTAATGTTGGCATTTTTACAGTTCAATAGAATTTTTGACGTTTTGAGGCATTGAGTGTAAAGCGTCACAACTTCCTTTCATATAAAATATATCCTTCACAGATCAAATTTATTATTATGCTGTCATCTATAGCCCCTTCTCGGTATGCCAAGCATGGTCTAATTTAATTCGGTAGTTACACATGGCTCTTGTTCAACTTTCATTTCACTTAAGAAAAGATGGCTTATCCCAAAACTCAACAGTTTAGAGTAGACATCTTCTACCACCTTCACCATGCCATCAAAATTCCTGATAACATTACCCCGCTGATCTTACAGTGTATGCGTTCTGGTCCTCTTAACAGTTTTTTAAAGTTGTTCTCATACTGCCACCTTTGTCCTTTACTGCTGCCTCAACTCATTTGAGGTCGCAGTTCCTTATGTCTCAGACTTTTTTCTAGTTAATCAGCTTTGTTAGCTAAACATGTGCTCAAAATAACACAAGTGTTATGTCTAGGTCTCTGTTTTCGAAGTTTAGATTTTTTTTGTTTTTAAATCGGGCCTTTATGAGAGCTTATTTTTCATATATCTCCCATTCTACGAAATACAGTGTTTCTTTTTATTTGGTATTATAAGTTGTAGTAATATGTTTAATTACTTTTAATTTCCAATGAATATGCTGTGTAATGTTGCTTACAATCCAGTTTTTACAATCTTTCATTTCTTCTAACTACCTATTCATTTACTCTGTTGATTTGGAGTGTTGTAAATGCGCGAAAGTGTAATTTAAGAATTGGGAGGTTAAGCTGCTTCTTAGCTCTTCCTCCAAGCTTCCCACACTTTTGCAATGAAAAATCAAGGATTTATTATTATTAATATTATCATTATTCTCAATACTTGAGATCTTAAGATGAACTGGTATCAGAACATGAAAACATGCAAATAGACCAAATGTATTTTAGATATATGAAAGGTTTGAATGCCCAAACACATATACATAAAAGCACAAACATAAAACACCTATGTTTGTGTACGTTACAACCTTAAAGCTTGTTGTAATAGAAGCAAGCATACATTATGAAGTTGCTGCCACTGATGAAGGTGCACTCTTTTCGATTGATGAGTTTAAGCTTTAAAAATGCTCTTTGAACTTTCAAAACAGCCTTCGAAAACAGGACTTAATCAAATAAATCTGAATTGCCAAAAAATGTACTGGCAAGTGTTTATCGAACTTTTTTTAAAAATATATTCGAAAACACAGAGCCCTAGTTATGTCCTTCCTTTTTCGTCCTTCTGTTGCTTCTGTGCTAAATTATTCGTTACCATCTCTTACCAACAAAGCTCGATGTATACCCTTGTCATTGAATTTTATTTTAGATCTTGAGCTAGCCACTTTTAGGCATTGTTGTTTTTAGAATAACTTCTTTCGTTCAGGAGATTTAACAAGGTGCTTGATTGGGCTGGTTGGTGCTGCATGGTAGATGAAGAAAGTGCTTAACATCGCAAACGACAGGCGGGGATAGAAGAGACGAGAACAGAGCGCTGAACTATCAACCAAAGTTTATTGCAATCCAACTGCAATATATAGGAAAACAGAATCTGCGTTATCTAGGGTCCCCTAATATGACTGGCTCTTGATAAGGTAGGCCGTTCGGCACATGTATGTCGATTTGGCTGAAGTTGCGTGGTTATGCGCAGATTCTGTTTTCCTATATATTGCAGTTGGATTGCAATGAACTTTGGTTGTTAGTTCAGCGCTCTGTTCTCGTCTCTTCTATCTCCTCCTGTCATTTGCACTGTTAAGCACTTTATTCGTCTATCATTCAGGAGAGTTTCCGTACTTCTTGCCTTGATGCTTTACATCCTACTTCTATAGCTGCTTCAAAAATCAGTCCATTGTTGGATACAACTTGAGAAACCTAAAGAGGCCCACCCAGAAGACCGAAGCGCTGCTGTCGATAACCTCCTCCACTAAAGAAGCAGTCCGGCTTCATGCACTTGGCAATGCACTTCGCAGGCGGTGTTACTCACTGTCCGGCTTATTACCCCAGTCCGGTGTACATACCCATTGGTACAAGCTTGTGTACATCCGCCTTTGAGAAGGAAACACTGCAGACTTCTAAAGTTGTATCCGACTATAGCTAAATTTTCACTCCTTCCATCTACTTCAGTATTTTCTTGTTCAAATTATCATACTATTTGTTCTCAGGGGCCCTCAATTCCTTTTTGCCGATATCAGATTCAGGATGATTCTCACCTTAACTTATAATCCCTTCTTTATATTGCTTATATCGTTTATTTCCTGCATCATGCCTGGGTCACAAGATAACATAAAACCTATTTTATTCCTCGTTTCCCTGTTATGGCTTTTTCACGTCGACTTATTATTTCTATGCTTTATAAAAAATGTTCATTACGTAGAGTTGATCTCCCTTCTATGATATGTAGCTACCATACTACATAGTTACCAATTGCTTCTTCCCTCCCTATCAGTTTTCTTCCTACTTTCGCATCAAGTCTTCCAAGACTATAGTGTAGTATGCTTTTTTTTTTTCAATGATAATCCAATATCCTCGTAGAGATGGTTTACTTTTTCATTATTATGGCTGGATGCTGGATCATAAGCATGTAATAGTTGCAGCTTATATTCCATGTATAACTTTATCATGAGGCTTGCTATCAGACCAGGATCCAGAATATTTTTTTTATTTTTGGGTGAAGAGGAGGGGAAGGGGGCACTTGCTGACAACCTTGAATATTTCAGAAAAACATACTTTCATTACTTATTTTAGGTAAAACACCCTTTTCATGTGAATTTTAGATGGGGCCCAGGCCCCTAGGGCACGCCCATTCCTCCTTCTTTGTGGCTGAGGACCTGATAGCTGCCCTTTTATTGATACTACTGAATTTTTCAATGTTGCCTGCAAACCACCTCAAGAACTTCCCCACAGGATCTTGCATTACCTTGTATACTCCCACCTTGCAGCACAACTGATTAACTTTATTTCATTGATTTTTAAAATCAATAAAATAAAGTAGACCATACAGGTGCAAAGTAATAATAATAAAGAAGCTGATTAAAAAAAACACTAATTTCCATTTTTCTTTTTTACCTTCATGACTCTTGGTAATCTGAACAGATGAAAACACTGAGCAGCTTCCTTGAAGCTTTAAAAGCTTTAAATAAATCTAATAAAAACCATAAACAGCAGATCTAATCTCAATATACCCTCAGTAATTTTGGTTTTGCTCGATCCCATCGTTATCACATTCAGAATATTATATACTTGAAAATGTGAATGGGAAAAACAATTTGATCGTTCAATGCACATTTTAGAGTCATATTACGAGTATATATTACTTATACAACTTAACAGTGCATTTGCAGCTGCGCACTAAACCACTACACCACGGACTCCATGTTTATTTCAGAAAACGGCTGTGCTGAAAAGGTGATGCTGTCTAAAAAATCAAAAGAAAAGGAAGGTATTCCTGCAAAGTGTACAATAACTATATTTTACCAAAGACCTCTCGTAAATGTTCTAGTCTTATAATAAATAAAGAGTACTATTTTTTTGGCACGATACCAGGCATGGGCTTCAGTGCTGTAGTTTCCACAGTGCTGTGAAGAAAAATTGTTGCCGATCATAATCTTTTTTTTGCTTTACAAGAGAGTCTAATGCATTTAATGCAACAAGCCAACAATTTAGCTGAAAACTTTATATAAATAATAGATATATTGCAGCCCAAACTGCATTACACCTTGATTCATTAATATATTTCTTTGTAAATCTGCTATATATATATATATAAATATATATATACATATATATAGATATAGTACATGCCACTTGACAGCTGCATACACAGCCCTAAACCTATTTTACAGTCCTGAAAGCCTCTCTAAAGAGGCATCAAAGACGTTGTCAACCGTCGCCAACTTCGTCTTCACTGAGCAAATCAGCTGCCTGCTCGTCTCGGCTGCTCAGATGATGAAGGCTGTGAAGCTTGTGCGGCACACTGTTCTTCAGCCTATAAGACAGACACATGGTCATTTAACACTACCAAAAGATATGGATAGTATTCGGACAAATACAATTGCTTAGAAAGTGCTTGGATATGATGGATTCAATTCATTGCCTGAACTTGTGCTTCTACTGCTTTGCTACCTTTCTCCACTCGATAACATGACATCACTGCCATAGGAAAGGACCACATAAAGGAATCATTTCATCAGGTTTATTTACTGCAAATTAATCACTTGACACTGAAAAGCATGGACTACCATGTTAGTTGCAGCAAAAAAATGTTGCTCAGTGTCGTCTGTGTCTTTTAAAAGATATCAACCTATGCTAATGAGTGCAGCACACTATGGCATACAACAAATGTAAGGAAAACACACACGGATTAAACACATAAACTTTCCTTGCATTTTTGCTGCCACAGTAGTGGGTGGCAATCGACAGCTATGTGCAACCAAAAGACCCAACCTTAGCTCTTCTATCCATCCTAGGCCAGAATTTGCTCATTTAGGTTGATCACCCATTTGTAATATAGTGGCAAGCCTCACAAAAAAATAATGTGTGTAAAGTTTTTCATTTTATCACCTCACGTTAACATGCTCCACTATTTATTCAACTGTGAGCAGCCAATAAAAAAGTACCACAGCCTCGACGTGCACAGAAATTTGTGATTCATATCAGAACAATAGTTTGCCCCCTCCATTTCTCACCATCCAGATTTGCTTGACTGGAATGAAATCCCTTACTCCCTTTTACAGCCATAAAATAAACTAAGGCCTTGTACTTGAACAATGTAGTTTGTGATAAGGAACACGCGAGCATGTGACCTGCGCTCTGCAGGGACCGCCTACAGCTCCGTCAACTGACAGCTAATGAAAGCATGCCCGCTTTTGGCCATCATCTATTGGCAAACAAAATTACTAGTCATGGTCGGCCATGGCCTATGAGATTGTGTGCAGCCAGGTTTATCTCTGACTGTCCCAACTGCACGGAGTGTAATTTCAGAGGTAGGTGTGGCCCGCTCCACACCTACCTCCCGCTCCTCCTACACACCGCAGTGCCCACTGAGGGTTCGAAATGTTGTCATGCTTGCATGAGGCGACGAAAAAATGGTTTTGCCCTATTATATAACCTCCAACTGATTTGGAAATGTCAGGTCAAGATGAATAAAAGGCCAAGTGCATGCTGGGGCCTATTTATAGCCAAACGTGCTTTTTTTATTTTGTCGATATGAATCTTCTTGTATGTGCAGCCTCATTAGAACACTTGAAAGTGCGATGCCTCTGCAAGACATCTGCAAGTGCTGGAAACGCACTACACTTTGAAATTCGTGGGCCGTAGAGCATAGGGGCTCTGGCAAAGGAGAACAAGGGCTGGGCATAAACACGCTCAAGGTTCGAGCTCGCCCTGCCGCTGAAGACGGATCAGTCGTGGCGGGGCTTAAGTAAGCGTTTTGTTGTCACCTCAGTGTACTCTCTACAAACATGACTTGAGAAGTCAGCTTAATAAATTACCAGATCTCCATACCCTATGATTAAAAGAGCACCAGTTAGTGGAAAGTGACGCATACAAACACGCATGTTACAGGCCCGCCTTAGAAGGCCGTACTTCTGCACGCTCAGCAACATTGAGTTATTAGCCGGCGCCACCCAGTAAATAAGCAGTACTTCGCCCGTATCTTAGAGCACAAGAACGTGAAGGAACCAAACATTTTGAGACTTGCCTGTCAGGACTGCATTGAATGTGCCATGAATATGCTATCCAATAAACCCTATTCATCGATAAATGTCATACAGCTAGAAAAAAGCATCGATTAAACTGTGCCTAATTTAGCTAAAATTCAAAAGAACTTGTGACAGTACCTGTCACATTAACACTCAAAAAGACCAGTAATACAGAAACTGAACTTCTTGAAGGTCCACGGTGTATTCACCCCAGATGCCTCATTAGCAATAATAATGACACAGACAGCATGAATACAGATTTGCATGAAGCATGGTGTGTGCATAGCAACGATGCCAAAGTTGTCTCTCTTTTTCGTAGAACGCCAGCAATGCATCCACGCAAATTTGCTGCGCCGACGCCACAGCATGAGCTCGTTACAAAAAAACAAGGTCAAGTATATGCTGCGAAGCTGAGCCGACCAAACTTGGCACTCAACAGCAGTACTGACGAACAACTGAACGTCTCAATCTTGACGAACTGAACGTAATACTAGCTCTGTTGAGCAAACGTACGCCTATTCAATACGTCCAACTCCCTTGCAACGTAAGTAGCAGCAGTTATATTGAAAAGCTTATCATACGAGTGAGCTCAGCTCATTTGTGTGCAGGCAGGTCAGCTCTACACCGCTGCAATAAAAAAAAAACATCTCTACATCACTATAACAAAATGTTCCATTTTTAATTTCATCCTCGCCGTCAGTTGGTAATTTTCTATGAATCATTCCTGCCTATGTGTGCCGCCTTTTGCCCGTGAGAGAGCTATGCTCGTTAATGAGAATATCTGGGGTTTTATGAGCTGAAATCTCGATATGATTATGAGGCACGCTGTAGAAGGGCTTCAGAAATTTAAGCAATGTAATGTTCTTTAACGTGCACTGACATCGTACAGTGTACGGGCCTCTAGAATGTAGCGTCTACTAAAATGTGACCGCTGGTATAAAAATCGACTAAGTTTTTTGCTCTAATACTATAAGGCAATAGGTTATTTTTGTTTCAGTGAAAACTATTTTAACAAACAGAACCAACCTCTTTCATATTTCAGCGCGACTTCAATGACCAATATGTTAAAGTGCGCAATTTCAAGAGTCCGAATGTGAAAGCATCAACCTATTCCAGACAATGTAGGCGATGAATTGAACTTATTTCACTGAAATCTGCGGCTGTATCATCGAAATTTCGCATTTGTTTGCCGCTTTTGTTTATTCATTAACTCTTGCAATCCTTGTAGAGTGAAGACAGCATTTATTGTACTTTTTATTCATTTTGAGCTATGTCTGCGGTCCCAAAACGACCTTGCATGATATCTCTCAGCGACCACGGTGATGCCGTCTTGGGCCCTCTTCAAAAAACGAGGACCGAAGTTTTTTGTTTCCGGGAGCACCTCAAATTTCACACTCAAATTTCTGCATGATTAATAAAAATCTAAAGGCCTCAACCAATCACTTGTATATTATGAACTCATGGCTTCCAGCTGTTCATGCAGCCATCTTTTGTTAGTACAGTCGAATCTCATTAATTCGAACACGCTTAATTCGAACTTCCGGTTCATTCGAACTCACGATGAGGTCCCGTCAAAGCTATGTGTATTCCAATGGGCAAAAACGCCCGGTCATTCGAACGCGCCAGCACTTGCGACGGTTAATTCGAACATACCGCGCTCCGAAAGTGCTCTCAGCACCCAGCCCGATCCCGTGGCGGCCCCTGCGACACCTCAATGCTGCGCGGGAAGGAAATGAAAAGGAAAGAAAAAGCTGCGGTGGAATGTTTGCTCTCTCTCAAATGCCGATCTGCGACGCGCCAGTGTCACGCTTCTCTCTTTTCCGTCCGTGCCACGTAAAGACCCTTCTCCTTCCAACGCTGCGCGCGAAGAGCAAAATAAAAAGAAAGAAAGCTGCTGCGGAGTGTTGGTTTTCTCTCAAATGCCGATCTGCTTCTCTCTGCTTGGAGACGCTACTCCTTTCTCGTCACATGCTGGCCATGCTGCGGCTGCGTAGCGGAGAGGCTCCGCTACGCAGTCGTTGTTGCCGTCGTCTTTAGAAAGTGTCGGCGCTGGATATTTCCGCGCGCAACTTCTCTTGCCAGGAGAATGCTGAAGCCGAAGCAGTAATGCTTTGCAAGCTCACTGCAAGGCAAATGTGTGCAGATGCGCATCACCGATTACTTCAATTAATAACGGATGTTCTGTGATTTGTGAATAAATGTAAGTCTTCTGAAATCTCACCCTCGTGTGTTACCTCAATGCACATGCGCCACTGCATGAAGAGCCTTCCATTCATTTAGCTTTCATTAATTCGAACTTCTTTTGATTCTAACAAATTTTCGAGTGCCTTCGAGTTCGAATTATCGAGATTCGACTGTATTACTTTTTTTTTTTTTCATTTTATAAACACTCAGGTGATCTGGACACTGGGTACTTATAATGAGGTGTCATTGGTGTAGCCAGAGAGGAGAGGGAAAGGTTCAACACTCTGAAATGTCTACATTTTGTATGTATATGCACACATAGACACACCAATAAACATACAAAAAACTGGCCCCTTCCCCCCCCCCCCAAAAAAGAGTATATTGGATTTCTATGCCTCTCATAGGTGCCTATAAAAATGGAAGCTGAAATTTATTCATGTCTCTTTGAGAAACTCAGTAAAGTCAACCCAGTATTCGGTGCTCTTGATATGAAATAGCTATCAAGCAAAGAAAGCAGAAATGTTAGTAAAACAGTGCATAAAAATGAAAGGACAAAAAGAAGAGGCTGAATGTTAGTGCCAGTACCTTGACGGTGTCCGAGTGAACTGACGCAACCAAGCATTCTTGTTGGCTTCATAAAGCAAAGGGAAAGAAAGACAAGTACAGCCATGGAAAACCACTCAGCAGCACTTCATATACTAATATATTTAAAGTATGTGACGACAAGGAGCCGTCTCATCTATTACACATGCACACATATGAAGCTGGCATAAAACACAAGTTTTATGATGAGGTACAAAATATCGTACTAGTCTAGATCGCCACTGCTCATCGTTCAACCCCCATAGGCATCAGCAATAGCAGCCATATATCCTCTAAGTTATAGCAGCCATATCAACTCTTACAGTCTCATCACCTAAGCTTTTTGTTTTTCCTGGACTTCCCCATATTGCACTATATTCACGTGTCACACCTTATCTGAAAATTTTGTGATACAGCTAGGTTTCCTTGCAGAATCGTATGAAATCTGTTGGTAATAAATGCAAGGGTACTGTCAGAAACGTCTAAAATTCTCGCCCCTGCCCCCCTTCATTTAAGGAGGAGGTGGGGGGGGGGGAATCGGAGCCGAATTTCTTTATTTTTGGTAGTAGAGCAATCAAATTTGGCATGTTTATTCGGAAGTGCACAGAATGACTATTTACAAGGTTTTATTAGGATACTTCCAGTAGTTTTGACATAAATTTTTATTTGCATCATAGCTGTATGAAACTTGCCAAGACAAAAAACATGGTAAAAGACTACAGCTGCTCTTATATTTCTGCCATAGGAGTGGTTGATGCAGTGACAATCCCCAAATATCTTTATCATCCAAAAGTTTTTTTTCAACGAATGCATTTGTATCATGCATTCGTTATCCTCTCAAATTAGCTAAACAGCAAAAAAATCAAATAGTAATTTAAAAGAATGTCACTTCACAGAGAATTCATTGGGGAGTACAATGCAACAGACCTCATGAGAATCCATCAAACCATAGTCGTGCTATGCTATGGGCAATTGGGTCTCTCGGGTAAAAGCACACGTCTGAGAAAACTGGCACTAAAGTTGCACAGCCACTACACGTAAATCAAAATACTCTGGGGCTGTAATATTTAGTATCCTTGCTTTCAGGCACCTTCTTGTGCCTTTGCTCTCTCATTTTTTCTGCACCGTGTTTTTTTTTTTTCTTTGCTGGTCATCTCTGTCGGCTTTTTGAAGGATGAGCCTACCAGGTTGGATGACCACTTTGATATTACAAGTCTGTAAATATGCAAGATGAGGTACAACACTGTGGCAGTTATGGCCAAGATTTTGGTGACACAGGAACTTCTGAGAAGTTTACGTGACACAAGTTTGGCAGATAAAAATTCTTACCCTCTTCCAAACAAGTTCATTTTTCACCCTCGCCCTCTGGACGTCAGCAGAGAAGTGCAAATGGGGTAGTTGCCCCCAACCCCTCCAAGCGACACCAGTTCTCCCCCCTCCCACCCTCGCTCAATCCCCTGAAGACCATTCTTTATTTTCCTACGGACATTGGTGACCAGAGACTTTCCAGAATGGTCCTTTCAATCACGATGTCAAAAAATAAAATATAACAATAAATAAATAAATAAAAACAGTCAAGGATCCTTCCTACTGATATTTATTCTGTGAGAACGCAAGTAGCCAGGCAGCAACAAAGACAAATTCAAACCATCTACCTGTGAAAGCCTTTTCTCCTGAAAATTCTGCCCCTGGCGTTCTTCTGTTGGAAACAAAAATTTTCTCTTCAGACGACCTTCTTTGACCTCGCATGAGCTACGCCTGGGTTCTTTGCTAGCAACACAATGCTTCCCCGCTTCAGGTATTTTCACCTGGGTGAGGTAAAGCCTCCCCATCGTGTCTACTGCCACATTTATTATAAGTCCCGGTTCCAGCCTAGTTCCGGTTCCAGAACTTCCGAGAGAAAGTTATTGAGCCACCTGCTTCCGCTTTTTCCTTTCATCTTGTTTCCGCACATGCGAGAAAGCAATTATTTTCTTCTTCGTACCATAAATGTTGACTTGAGTTTCATCCTAAGCTCCCGAGGAATGCTACCTGGCTGCTGCGCACCATACTGCCCAACGGGGTTGACAATGACAGCCGAGCGGTGGGACAGCATGAATGAGGCAGGGTGGGCGCGTAAGGTGGTGTGAACTTTCTTTACTTCACCCTATTCATAGGGTGTACAGAATACGAAGTGGGTCTATGAACTGGAAAAGCAGCAGAAACATCATGGTGGCACCTCGGCTTCCACTGGTCCGAGGACTGGTGTAAAGGAAGAGGGGGGAGAACGAGTTAGCACTACTTAACCTAGCCGGCAGAAAACATGTAGAGGGGCTTTACATTAGCCTAACGAACAGCCTAAACCACAGACTAGAAAATTTTTACTATTTAGCAGTTGATCCGGCCTTTCCTTTCTTTGGTTTAAGTGTTTTACTCTCTCACCAAGAAGCTTAGCAGTGTTGCCACTCTGCTTGGGTGCAGCTGCTGAACAGCAGAAATATGGGAAGAGAACAAAAGTACATGGGGCTCCAACGGCTAAGGATTTTCGGCCCTAAAACTCTATTATAACCATGTTTACATGACATTCTTAGCAAAATTTCGGCCCGCACAAAATAGACGAAAAAATGAAAGGCAAGAAGACAAACGGGCACTTTTTTTTCATCTATTGTGTGTGCGCCGAAATGTTTCCAACAATGTCCTGAAACCAACTCACCCAACTTTCCATACTATTACTTGTTTACATATATGCGGCTACTGGTGAATCGCATCCATTTACACGAGCTTGATGAACCAACTCGCCCAGAAAAAGTTTACACGGGAGTATATGCGCTGGGAAGCCGTATCATACTAACACGCCAGGTGGGATGGAATTAGAGCGGTAGATGAACTCATGGGCCCTAAATCAAGGGGAGAGTAATGACGGCCCTTCGTCATAGCTTCTTCGAGTATGTTGATGATCTTCCATTTCGTCCGAATTGTCGCAGTCTCTGCCCGACACTTGCTTTCCAAAGTGAGAAATTAGGCGATTTGGACACCTCTGTGATGTTCCCATGTAAGGGATGATGGGCAGGCTCATACTGCCCCTTGCTTAACAGGGCAGCACCGATAACAAAAACGACAGAAGAGAGACATTCCAATAACGAAGGACGAAACATTCTCAGCTGCTAAACCCAGTTGTAAAAAATAAAACAAACTTTTGCCAGCATTCAAAAATCTCTGCGTCATCAAAATATCAATAAAAAGCTCTTTTGAGACACAGTAAGGTCTTATCTGTGAGCACACCCTTCGACACCACGTTGCAGCTAGGGGGACATGAAGTAAGCTTGAGAGAAACGGCGTCTCGCATTTTATTGCGTTTAGTAAACACGGCTATTGAGGCACGACTTTCACACAGTAATTTTTAAGACACCTTGGTGGTTCTTGTGCACTTTCAATGGAATATTTGGAGGAGTGAACGTGCCTAGAATAAAAAAACAGTCTGTGAATGAGAAAAATCAGTGTGGGAAATATTCTTGAAAAAAGTAAACTTGCAGATTTCTGCTAAGTGTCAACTCTCAAAAGCCCTTTTCTAATAACCTCTCTACTCACAGCTACAATGTGTACCTACAATGATGAAAAAAATAGCTTGCACCTGACAAAACGGAAAAAATTTCGCCAGTGAAGGTCGTGGCCTCTCTGCGTTAAAGTAAGCGCACGTTCGTGAGCGTTGCAGAGCTATTCTACAGTGCCACGACAAAGCAAAAATGGAAATCAGAAGCTTCTTTAAACGAAAAGCTGATGCTGACGTTGCACCATGTTTGACGAAGATACAAACTTCAAGCTGGACCACGATGTTTAATCTGAAGATACTTCTACCACCTCACCTGAACTTGAGGAGCCTCTCACATTAAAGCACCCTCTCGACATCGGCTGTGCCCTCAAACCATCTCTAGCAGGTAAGCTTCATCACAGCAAATAGTACGGCTCCAGTCTTTGCCATTGAAACTATTTGAGCACGTTTATGAATAGCCATAGCTTTTCCCGTGGCAATGTCTTATCCAGAACATTCTTTCAGCACGATGTGATGTGTGAAAACATGGCTTCGTTCGATGATGTCAGACGACTGCCTGTCTGGACTCTGCATGCTCTCGTTGCATTGTGAAAAAACTTAAAAGGAGGGACAAAAAGATTTCTCAGAGAAAGTTGTACAACACTTTGCTATGCGCATGTCAAGACGCATGCCGCTCGCATTTAGAGGCACTGAGTGAGTGTAAGGATAATTTTCTAGCATGTACAAAATTGCGGTAATTCTTCCTGGCAACATGTCATTTACCTGCATAACTGCATGTCATTTAACGCAAAGTTTATAGATGAAGAAGCTGTTTCCCAGCAATTTCTGACTGCTAACTGTTGAACTGCAATGTTAGCCAGAAAATCTAAATTCAAGGCTGCCTGCCTCAGCAGCGGTAATACTCAGCTTTGTGCCTCGAGGTATCATAACTTCTGAAAATTCTACTTTGATGTTGAAGTCTTCCCATTTTTATTTTTTGGTTTGATGCAGGTGTTAATAAATAATCTAAGACTTTTGTAACCCTTAAGATCAGAAAGATATCCCCATATACACGGTTGTTATAAGCACACCCCCCTCCACAGCAATGTAACAAGTTGCTCCCCCCCCCCCCCCTCACACTGGCAGAATCCTGCCAACGCCCATTCAGTTTCAGTTTTAAATTTTGCACTGAAATTTCTGCGCATGATGTAAGAAATTTCGAAATGTGCTTTTCATATTTTCTCGACATTGGCTTGATCAAATTTTTTAAAACTTCGTATGCTAGGTCTATGGCAGCCACAGATGACAGTGCACTTCAATTTTATCAATTAGAAGCTACGTAGGTCCCAGTAGGTAGCTTCAAAATATATGACATCATGGTGTTTCGTAAGTATAAACACACAACGTGGCCATGTTAACTTTTCCTGAGGAAGTGATCATCGCTTGCCTAGTTGGCTCACCTTTTTTTTTTTAAATGCTAACTTCAAAGTCCTCAAAATGGTTTGTTTCAATACTTCCTCAGGTCCATTTCATCAATATGTAAGAGAAGCCATTACACACATTGTTTAGCCATTTGACAGATAACTGCTGCAAGGGCGCAACCATCATTGAAATTAATCATGCGCTTTCACATGAATGCTTTGCTTTGCATACTGTCTTAGGAACAGGCTATGCCGTACCTTTACCATAATCCATGTAAATTTTTCTATACTTGAAGGGGCCCTGCCACTCTTCTTGAACTGACTCAGAAAACGAAGGAAAAAGAATGGCAATTACAAGTAGCACAAGCCTGTGTTGCTTGTTCATGTCATGGACAAACTCCCCAAGCCACTCAGTGATTTAATTGCACGTCAACCATGCCTTGGCATTGTGCCTTTAGAATATGGGCACACAGAACCGGAAGCATTCTTGATTTTTACATTAAAAGGAGATGCACGTCAAAAAACGCGTTATTTCAAAAATTACATACTTTCATTTTTTTTTTGCTTTCACAAGTTTACTTTCTTATCTCACGACAAAAAAAATTGTAAGGTTGTAATTAAACTCCAAGTAGGTTAAAATCGCTTCTAAAGAGCACAAGGTGGCTACTAAGAACTAAAAAAAGCTCATTGTCTGGAGTCCCCTGGAAATTGTCACCTGGCTGCTTGCCATTGCATTTAGCAAGAGGAGTTCACTAAAGCCACATGCTCTAAATAACCATGATTGCCAAGCTCTTATAATACAAGAAATCATCTTAAAAAACGTATCTTTCCCTCATAGATGAGCTTTTACTTATACCTTTAGAATGCGTTTTTTTCTGGATCCAATTTCAGGCAACTTCTTGAGTAAGGACATCATGTTTTTAGTACTTCTGATAGTCCGATCAGGACGAAATTTCGCCCACATGTTCCTTAATATGCAAAAGGTGCACGTATCTCCTTTAGAACTTGATATCGCCTGTATAATTATTATGAACCTAAAAAAGCAATTACTATAGGCTGAGGATTTTGAAAATTCTCACATTACAATTTTTCTTGTCCATTAAAAAGTCTTATAAAGCACTATCTTGATAGTTATGTGCATTTTACAGTTAATGTTGAGTAATTTGAATAAATAGCTAAGAATGATAAAAGTTTAGTGGCATAAAAAACACAACTTTTTTTTCTAATTGCATCTCTCTTTAGCAAAGAGCACATGTCAGCCACTGCTACTTGCGCACTAAAGTGTGATATAGTACCTATGCACTTTACTGTGACTGCACAGGTCCCCTTTCACCACCTGCTTTTTATTGGGTAGCATATTCATGGTAAGATAACAAATTTTCATTTTTTTTATTTTACCAAACTTTCATTTGTGCATCTATGGCAGGAACATTCAAGCAACTTATGTGTGCTGCAAAGTGGATGACAGCTTTCACCAGAGTACAAAGAAGTATAACGGAGAGCCTTGGTGATATTACCAGGACTCAAAGAGAAATGAAAGTCTGCATAAGGAGCTAAACCGTGTGCGAATAGAGGCTAGCCCGCCGCCGTTGCGCGGGCTTTTCTGCCTATTTCGGCCGTTCTCATGTCCCAACATGACTCCCCTCTTCTGTGGTCTGCCGCGCTGGGGGAGCAGGGAGTGACGTTTAACCCCTCTCACCCGGTAGAGGATGTCGACTGTGGCGCCGTACACGGAGTCTCTCGGGACGTTGGGAGTGAGAGAGAACCTCTTTGGGAAGACATGGAGCTTCATCGATTTATACGTCCCGGACGGCTCCGGATGGCCCCGGACGCCGGCGCCGCATTAGTTTTTCTCGGGGACCAGCTGGAAGCTCCGCCCACTGGTCCGGGATCGTTCGGACGCATGTTTGTTTTTCACGTGCCTGGCGACCTGCGCGCGGCCCGGGACCGTCCGAACAATTTCATTCGGGCAGCTGGCAGACGACAGCGCGGTGCGCATGCTGCGCGGCCATCTTAAGTTACACACGGGAAATTTTCGATGCGCCCTTGCTCTTTCTTTGCTTTTCTCTCCGCTTCTCGCATGTTTCTGGATTTCGCATTGTTTGCCCACCCAGTCCGCAGTAGACAGCCCCACGGGTCGTCTGCTGTGGGCCCTCATGGTGAGTCGACTGTTGGCGGGGCCGCCTTGTGTTTGTTCTTATGTAATATTGTTAAGTGTGGTGTAATATTGTGTAAGGTTGTTATAGCGTGTTGATCAGAATTGATGCATATTACATATTAATTTGGATCACGATATCGTCGATCTAAAAGTAGTTAAATAAATATGTGTTTGGTTCATTCCGACCATGTCTACTGTGTCCGTTCACTCCAAGAGTGTGGTGTCCTCCACTTCAAGACCCCACAATTGTAAACACAGGAAAGCAGGGTAAAATGTTGATGAATGATAAATTTGGCACAGTCTGCCCTCACCTTGTTTGCAAGTGCTCCAGCTGCATCTGCAGAGTTTCAATCTGCTCCTGTAGCTCATCATTACTGCGCTGAAGTTTGCGAATACTGTTGGTAGCAGTGTCAGCCTGAAGGAAGGGAAGAGCAAATGATCTTGTTAATAAATGTCCATAACGAGACAGAAGCAAAGGCTTGTCATGCTGCACAGGCTCATAAAAGGTTCCTATTATGACAAACAAAAGTTCTTTAACATTCAGTAGTATCTACATATCATACATATAGATATTCTTGGCTGTATTTCGGTGATAGCAGATGTGGTCACTCCTTCGTTTCATACTCTTACGAAAGTGGTCTCGCTTAGCATGTTTTGCATGTTTGCTATCAAATTTCTCTGTTTCTAAGGCAAACATTAAGCATTTCATACCAAATTACTAACATACTTAGCACACAAAACTAATTTGAATGTTTCAATAAACAATATAGATGTAATGTAGGCTCTCAGTAAACGTAACCTGAAGGGACTAGGAAAACATGTTCTATTTAGCAGGAGTTCCGTTTAGTGCGAGGTGAAAATGGGTGCAAAATAGAAGCCCAATGCCAAGCATTGCAGAGGCAATAGTTCCGTTTAAGCAGTAGTTCCGTTTAACAGATTTCCATTTACTGAGAATCTACTGTACAGTCAAACCCCGCTACAATGAAACTTGCAGAGCGCTGAAAAAGTTTCGTTAATGTGAAAATTTCGTTGTAGTGAAATAAAAAAATATATAGCTGATCTGAGGTAGCAAAACAGAGGAACGTTTATTCTATAATTTCAAAAAGTGTCCCCTGCTTCCTACTCTTTTCCAGCAGCGTCACGGCGCAATTTCCACCCTTGCATAGCGAGGCCATGGTGAAAAGCACGCTAAAACAAAGCCTACAACCACTTTCGTGAACGAACCAAACAGTTGCGTAAACATATGAACACCAGCAGCTGTCTGCCGTCAAAGTGTATCCGACAATGCCGAAATGAAGGCAGGGTATCGTGCAGCGGTAACTTCTGCCTTATTCTATGCCATTCTTATTATCCACCACTAGGGGCTAGCTGATCTTGTTGATAATGCGGACGAACAGCCACTCTGATTAGTTACCGCCCTGGCCAAGAGCAAACAAAATTGTAAAAATTAGCATCAGAAAAGGCATCGTTCTGCAGTTGCACCCACCAGCTGCGTGAAGGAAACCATAAACTGAGCGACTGAGCTTCAGCTTCGGATCGTCTGTGGCTTAAAAGCAAGCCAGTGGAAAAAGCAGGGCAGTCTCACTGCCATCACTATCGAGCAATGGCAGCGTTCATGATTGCTGAAAAGTGGCGGTTTCTAGTGGTGCCAATGCGTGTTTTAAACTTTGTCGACGTATTTTCAGATTAAGAAAATGCATCAAAATATTAAAAATTGTGTTTACTGGATAGCAATAGATATCTGAGCCTGGAATGGCATCGTGAAATTTCGTTGAAGCGAAACAGAAGAAAAAAATGTGTTCATTGTGGCGACAATGTTTATGCACTGAATCCTATGAACTGCTGACGGGAAATCGTGAATTTTTCGTTGTAGCAGAAATTGCATTGAAGCGGCGTTCGTTGTAGCAAGGTTCGACTGCATTAGTACGTGAACTTGTCACTGCCACAGATGGTTAAAGATTTGAGGGTCAAGGACATAGTACAATGTACGTCATTACAAACAGCCACAAGACACATGTATGTCACTGACTGTATGTTTAAAATGTGCACCTTTCTTGATCATATTTATTACTAGGCAAGGGCTGCCACTCTGTGAAAATACATGGAATTTTCTTTGGCCCTGATGCCTCTCTTATTTTTTTTTTATGCTTTACTAGAGCTAGTAGCCGGCTAGTATCTGTTTCGTCCTTCGGCCAGTTCCCACTTATGGCGCCCGCAAAACTGATGGCTTTCTTGTTTAGAACCTTTCAAAAGATTACGGATTTGTTACTAGTACCTTGTTTATTGTTCCCAGCTACGCAATGACATCTGTTTCCGTGTGGGTGCTGACTGACACAAATGATGCAGCTGTGGCTGCTTTTCTATTTGCCGGGACTCCGAAAAACTCCAAAAACTGCTTCCGTCTTGGTGACGAGAAAATAAATTGTTATATAGGTTCTGGACTTGTTTTTCCTTTTTGGGCACACTCACAACAACATAATTTTCGTCAATGCATTCAATAACACAGTTTGCTTGTGCTATGGAAGTGTGTGCTGATTTCTCAGCTGCAAAAGTTAGTCTATGGGCAGTTCACCCAAATTGCCACTCAACTGACGAATCAGAATCTGAATCAGTAAATGTCAGTTCATCATACAAGGAGTTACTTATGAGTTAAGATTCAGACGTTAATCAGTGAATGAAATCTTGATGATGCTGACTGGACAAAAAGTGGCTTTCTTCCCTCCGTGTTTTTACAAGACACCCCTTTGTGCACTTGATTTGGTATGTCCATGAGCTACACAGATGTTCATTGCAACTAAAAAATTTTTAACAGATGTATAAATTTTTTTTTAATCTGTAGAATTCATCTTACTGCTGCACACACAAAACCTACATGCACATAACGATACAAAAGTTATTTTGTCAGTTTAACACCACAGAAAGAAATTTTAGACAATTTTTTCTTAAATAGGTTAGCCTAAAGAATTCAATTCAGCAATAAAAAAATGTGCGATTTTAGAGATGCATTTCTGAAAAAATATCGACCCTCAGAGAGGGTTACCGTTTTTTAATTTTTGCCCGTTTTGATAATATTAGTACCTCTACTGTTATGAAAAACAAGTAAAGGTCGAGACTTAACTGGAAATTCTTTAAAATTGCATCTGAAGAGCACAAGGTGCCTGTTAAAACGTCCAAAGTGTGCACTCTTCGAGCACCTTGCCGCTGATAATGCGCCGCCGCTCGCCATAAATGAACGCATTAGCCGAAGAGTCGAGCCTCACTCTTCAAGCAGCAACAGTTTCCCTCGTTGCTGCCGCGCGAGAAATAATAAAAAGAAGCACGCTTTTGCACATTTTTCAAGCGCTACGACTGGCTTATGACGTGGTACGAATCGGGGACCGCCATTGGCCGCAGCGCAGCTGTATATGCTGTGAAGCCTGTTTGCGGGGTCCATGTCTTGTTGAGCAGCGCAGCTGAACATTGCTTTTCTCGTGTAATTATCTCTGTTATGAAGGAAAAAAGCATTCCTCGCATGTGAAAGCCCTTCTGCGGCTTTCACTTGCGACCAATGCATCCAAATCAAACCATCTTGCGATCAATGCCAAACTTGCGGTCAATGCATCAAAATAAATAACAATAGATCAAAAGTCATTCACACCCGTCAGCCAGAAAGTTCGTGATGCGGCAATGGATGACGTCAGCACCAATCTTGCGAGGTTGAAAGAGCTCGCAGTGGGAGAACTTAGCAGGAACGACATTGCCATTATGTACGACGGTATGTGGCACAAACATGGCCGCAAGAGGGCATGACACTGCACTTAGTTTGGATTTCGAAGTCCTATCAAACTTCTTCCTAGCTTGCATTTGGCACAAGGCTCTGCCAGATGGAGCGGAAGTTTGGCAAGCGTTTCATGGCCCTGTCTGAGAACGAAATGTCTATGAGGAGTCGGCTCGAAAAAGCCGAGTACAAACTCATGGGGCTGGCATATTTTAGTCGCAGTGGCCACTACAAGAAGGATTGTTTTTGTTGGTGTGCAAATTTTATCAGATTTAATTATATCTTTCATAAATAAAAACTCAATATTAACTTAAAAACTCCTTTTTTTTTAGAACACAAATTTTGCCATTTTTTTCAATGTGCCCCTCCTTTTTCGGGCGCTTCTAATGCTCAGATCTGCATGAAATTTTGCCCAAATTTTTTCTAAAGTACGGCGAATGTAATTATCTAGTTTAAATTTCAATATTTTATTGTATAATAGAAAAAATTCCATGTAAATCTTTACTAGGATAGGTGAAATATGGACTTTTTACGTCTAATATTTTTCACGCCAGTTACACATTTTGTATGTGCTTCTTAGTTAGTTACTTGCATTCTACACTTTATTTCAGACATTATGAACTATGAATGGTAAAAAATTACGGAACTTCAGGGATGAAGAGAGGGGGGGCAAAAGGGTTAAGGTTTTCACTTTGTCATTTTGCAGAGCTAAAAGTAAGCAACTTGCAAGAAAACTAATTATATATTTGAAATCAGCATAAAACGTTATACAAACAGCTCAAGTTTCATTGCTCTAGGGTGAATATTAAAAAAAAAGTGTCTACGAGTAGCATCTCCTCTTAAAGGGACACTAAAGAGCAAAACTATTTTTTGCGTATTAGTAAAGTATAATTTTCAAATCCTGAAAACACCACTCTTACTTCAACATGATGATTGGTAAGCAAAAAAACAAAAGATCAATTTGAAAAAATGCAGGTGGAGACGTTATCTTCAGATTCCCACACAAAACACTGTGACTCCGAAAATGTTTTTTAAGGCATCTACTGGGTCCTGTGTAGCTTCTAATCAATGAAAATGAAGTACACTGTCATCTGTGGGTGCCATAGACCAAGCATACGAAGTTTCCGAAAGTTATATCAAGTAAATGCTACAAAAATACAAAAAGTACATGTTGAAATTTGTTGCTATACATGACATTTCAGCACGAAATTTGAAAATGAAACTCAAACCTTGATTTTTTCCACTCCTAATAACTAACCTATGATAATGAAGCAATGTTAGAGTTCTCAGAGTGCAATTAGTCATTCTTTCATTGTTTCTCTTTTGTGTCCTTTCAATCTTGTCCTCGTTTTCTGAACTATCAATATTACTAGATTTGGTAACAGTACCATTATCCTCTTTACTTGAAAAGCAAAACAGAAAAACATTGTTACTATGTATTCAGCTTTGTTTTCCCACCTCTTACACCTGAAATGCCAGTCTTGTTTAAGTTTCTTGGAGTCATGAGAAACAGCTCCCCATTCTTTTGCACTTCCCGTTCTTGTGATACTCTCAAAAAGCTGTGGTGACAGCACTTACACTGGCCGCTGTATGTCTCTGCCAGAAACAATGACAGCGTTTGCTGCATGATGCCATCTTCACAAGGGACAATAAAATGGGCTGTCGTGTCTCAAAGGCACATAACCAAGTGGCTAACTGCTGGTAAGGAGCCTACATGCACATGTAGACTTCCTAACGTGAGAATATGCCCTTGCACCATAATGGCTATGTGACCATAGTGGACTAATGAATATACAGTTATTTCATCTTTGAAAACTGTCCACCTGTTGATTTGTCTGTAACTGTCCCTTCTCTTGGCCATGTACTTATATAGTTCTTCCACCCAAACAATAAACATTGTGCTTTTACATTGTGTACAGTGTACTGTAGCCTTCTTTTGCCTAAAGTTTCTTGCAATAAAAAGAAACTTCCCTGTCTACAAAATTATCACCAGAGATTATTTTTACCACGATCACGTATTCCCCCTTTGCAGTCTCCAATGACACGTAACAATAAGGCTCTAATGTACCGTATTTACTCGCGTAACGAACCCACCTTTTTTTAAGAAAAGTCGATTCCAATGCAGGGCGAGGGTTCATTACGCGGGAGAAAAAAGTCACGGGAGTTATACACAGGGGCGGCGCCAGGATGTTTTTACTGGGGGGGCAACCACGAAAAGTGAGTTCCTCCGGGGGGGCAAGCTAGCTTTGCTCCTACTAGGTTTTCAATATATGCTTCCGGGCACTTGGGTGGGCATAGGGGGGGCAGGCGAGAATTTTGGGGGGGCTCCAGCCCACCCTTGCCCCCCCCTGGCGCCGCCCCTGGTTATACAGCGAAAATTTCGCATGACTGTTTTGTTTGTCTTGGTCTGTGAAATGCGCGGCGAATTGTTGTTTTGGCCCGAAGCTCTTCTTGTTTTCTATCGTAATGAATGCATACGAATCGACCCCAAAGTGTCGTCCAGTTAGTCGGTTCTCGTGCTCCAGCGCATGCCCAACAAACTTCAAGTTTAAAACCAGCTATGTAGATAACGTACCAGTCGAACGTGCCCTATGCAGCAGGGGTCCAACCAAGTTCCCTAAGACAAACCCAACAACGAAAACACAGCGTCGGATGGCGGCGCACAAACGTCGCAGGAGCACAACACGCCATCGGCGCGGTTGCGCTTTGCATGGCCTCCGAGATGGCGGGTGCGTGGCGGGTTTTTTCGCTACACACCCGCCGTCTCGGACGCCATGCACTTTGTTTTCTTGCCGTTGTGCTTGCGTGGTGCTACAAGCAAAGAGGCTTCTCCTGCATTCGACAGATGATGCTCTGCCGCAAAAGGCGCGACTTTTAAATTTTGTATGACGTCGTCCGAGCTCCCGCTGTTCACAACTATTTAACATGGTTGTTAAACCACGTTTTCACTTTTATTGCGTCATTATTTTGTGATATAATGGCTTGATTCAACTAGTGCCCTTGATGATTTTGATAATCAAGGACATTGGTTATCATACCTAAATAAAGTGAACAGATAATTGAATTTCTTTTTTAATTTCTTCATGGAGCAAGTTGGGGAGATGGGTTCATTATGCAAGTGGGTTCATTACGCGAGCAAATATGGTACTTCCCTTGGTTGCTTCCCATATTCTTCTCATATCAGAATTAGAGGCATTTGAAGCATATGTGGCTCACATTTAAGCTGTAATTGGAAAATTAATGCTTAGCAGTATTGTGCTGTAGACAAAAATGAGGTGTACAATTATTCAAAAGTTTCCAACATCAGTGGAATATTAAATTTGTAGCACTGATAGACGATTAAAAAACTTTGTTAGCCAAGTTTGATATCTTGCAATAAGTGTAGAGAGCTCCAACAAGGGCTGAACATAGTATATTTGAATTGGAAGCACTAGGTGTGCCAGCCACACAGGTCAGTGTACAGAGGGTGATCCCGGTGATTACATTTGTTTTATTTAAACAGCAGTCTTTTGTTTTGGAAAGTACACTAGAGAACTTCTTGTTTTTGAGATGCGGTTCAGTGCCTTGACATAAGGCACTGAGGATAATCTAAATATTTCATAATTCACTTACTGAGAAAAATATATGCTGTGATCTAAGCATTAGCGCTTTATTTTGACAATTTTTGCACGCATACACAAGTTTAACAAGACGTTGCAGATTATTTTTGTTTTCATTCTAGAAAAGAACAGCAACAGAACTCTTTTAACTGGAACGATAATACAACCAGAACAAAACGCATTCATTAACAGCCTGGCTACCATACCACAGCATACCACCATACCATACCACCATACCATACCACCCTAGTCATGACTCATGTTTTATTTTAACAATGCTACACACTACATCCACGCACGGTACAATGGACTGAACAGTCTGTATTGCTCTCATGTAACAGACGGTACATTGCTTTGTTGTCCTTGTAAATGCTCCGACAGGAACACTATAATAGCTGCTTTAGTTATTTCATGAGTTACGTGAAAGATGGCACTGAACGACTGCTCACACAATCACTGCTATCACTCTCCTTGTCTTCACACATGAGGAGCCTACAATAGCTTGACGTGAGCATTTGCCTGGTCTGCATCGCCCGCGGGAGATAGGAGGCTACACACCTAAGCCAGTCTCGCGGACTTCTTATGCACGCAGGCATGGATTACCAGCAAATACAATGCTGCAGCAGGTTTTTGTTGACGCTGTGTAACAATTTTAGATTTGTAAGGGCCATAAAATGCAGATTTTAGTTCTATGAACTTCTCAAATAAACTAAATAATTTGAGTATAGCCCTGACTTCATTAAAACAAATCTCAACTGTATGATTTCTGCTTCCTAAGGAAGTGAAAATGCAGTTTCAAGAGAAAAGAGTGCACTCCAGTTTTCATATTCACAAGATAGCTCACCTCATCCTCAGCAGTTGCGAGTTCTTTTTTGAGTTCATCAATACGCCCTCGTAGCTTCTTCACCTCTGCTTCATACTGCTCCGATCGTCGAAGTGCATGAGATAATTCTGTGCTCTTCTCCTGGAGAACTTTCTTCAGTTTGCTATGGGCGTGCTTGAGGTCAAGCAATTCCTACAGAAAAAAACAAAGTCGAATTGAACAAAATACCACAGTGGACAAAAAAAAATTGCGTATGCATTTGACCCATATAAAAAAACTTTTTCTAGTGTTGTCAGTAGTAACAATGGTGGAGTGAGGACGTCAATTTGTAGCTCTTGAATGAAGAAAAAATAATAAGAATACTGAACTAAAGGGCCCAGATCACAATAAAAAACCCGGTTTAATTTCTTAAGGTGTCTCAGCACGACAGGGCAAATTCAAACTTGCTGTGAAACTGCAATGTTCCACATGTTTACCTGAAATACCTTTCTATCAACGGAAGTTCCAAGGATTACCAGAAAACGGCTGCATTTCTTGTTAACTGCAGAAAAAAATATCTCAGAACAAGTGTTAATTTCAAAATTTATTGCACACTGATCTGACCATGATTGATATGAGGGGTTTAACATCCCAAAAGCACCATATAATTATGAGAGACGCCGTAGTGGAGGGCTCCAGAAATTACTAATCTGACCTTCAAGGTCAACAGGTACAATTTCTAGATTTCCTAAACTTATCACATTAATTGTTCTAGCTACATTACAAGCATACCTTTTTATTTAAAAGGTGCTACAAAACCTATGTTTTGAGGTCTAATTGTGCATGTTGAACAATATGCATCCCATAATAGACTGCCAGGTTTTGAGCACATACACTATAGTGGGAATTTCGTTTTGAACTTTTATTAATATTAGAGTTGAACCATACCACAGTGTGACAACCATTTATTTATTTTAGATTTTATTTTATTATTGCAATAGCAATTATACGGACGGTCTCCGCTGGTTGCCGCCTCTGCCGTCAGTCACGTATATGTGATGTATGTATATATATATATACACATACGAGGAAAGATACGCTAGCCTTCTTTTTTTGCAGAGTGAACATTGCCTTTCCAGCCGGAGTCGTCTGCGTGCGCACTTATCTCGTGAGTGAACAGGGGGAAGGGGGCTTATGGTTGCAGCGCTATTGTTGCAACAATAAGCGAGCGCCTTGTGCCCCCACAGCAGGCGGGAGCTTCTATGGGCTGCGTTTTTAACACAAAAAGCGAGTGCCAAAAGTGTAATTGGAGCGACCGCGTTCTCTTAAAGGGCCAGTAAACAGTCCTGAAGTCCAAAAATTTTAAAAAAGAGATATATGTGCAGTTTTTCTTTGCGAACATGCTGCCGCAAGAATTTTGCAAATATGTACTATATTAAGGAAGTTACAGGGGTTACAACATCGGTCTAAGCTGGTTTCAAATTTTCCCGCGGCCTCGCCCCCTTCTCTTTTCCATGAAGGAGAAGGCGTAACCCATCTTCGTGACTCAACTTGACTCAACCCAACTTGCCAAGTTGGATGGATGACGTCAATTGCCACATCAGCAATTGACGTCATCGGCGACTCAATCAGTCGCAACGCACTTCCGCTTGCTGCGAAGCGTGGTTGTTTGTTTACCGTTTGCCGCACCAGCCGTGGGTCAGCCGCGTAAGCATCAGGTGCGAAGTGTTGACCACAAACGATCACATCCCCGACATACGTCGCTGGATGGCCGATTCGTTTCAGCCATGCAGCGCGCAAGGCCCCATCATGAAACACCTGGTGCCGATGCTTCTTCATTGCCCAGTCGCTCGATTTGCAGCTGACGACAGAGCAACGCTTTTTACCCGTGTTGCTCATGTCAAGGTTGAAAAACACTCGTACGTGCACAGAGGGGCTGTAGTTGAGCGAGGAGTGCACACGTGCACGCGACAACTGCGAGGCTCGTTCTTTCCCCGCAGTGCCAAGAAACAAGGGGCAGTTTCGTAGCTGTGGGTGGGAACAGGAACTGGCGTTGACTTCTCTACTGTTTTTTCACACCTGATTTAGACCAATCTGCGAGCTTCTCCAGCAAGCTGCATGCTACGTCATGTCGCCGATCGCCGAGTTGACGTCACTGCGCGTGCAAGGGGGTCGGTCAGGAGTAGGAAAGATGCACGGGAATTGTTTTTGAAATAGAGCCTCTGCGCGGCACGCAACGCTGTAATATTAAGAAAACGTGATCGCTGCGGTCTAATCTACGAATTGCCAAGCTTGTATGGGTGGTGTAAAAAAAAAGTTGGAGCCTGTTTACTGGCCCTTTAAGGCGCATTTACACTAGAAGAGACACAACAAAGATTTTGGTCTGCCGACTGTCTTTGGGAGTGTCTTTTGTCTTGTCATAATATTTACACTGCAGGTTTCTGGAAGACTCAGTCATCCATGCCTTGTCATGCTCACAGTCTTTCGTTGGCCAATTCTGTAGTCACACAGGAGGCAGACGCACCGACTAAACTTGGACACCTGCACCTCATTTTCAGCCTTGCTTCTGCTCTGCCATTGTCCCTCTCCGGCTCCCTGGCCTAGGGTGCGCAAGATGCCTATTCAAACACGGGGAGGGAGCATTGTTGCATCTCCCCCAAGATTTCCCACTTCGTGGTCGTTTGAAGCAAGGACATGGGCAAATTTTCGCTCAGCCACAGATCACCCACTGACACAGGTCTGCCAATGTGTTTTGCTGGTGTTTTCAGTTTGTCATCATGTTACACTATGGCGACATGCTGTCTTTTGAGACATCTTCAATGTCGGCCTAGGGTGACCATGGGATCTGGCGACTTCGTCAATGGGCAACTCATCAGCCGATGGTCGGCATCTGCCTTGTGCTTTCGTCTGGGTCGTGTCAGTGTTGTGTTGCTCTAATGTAAACGTGCCTTCACACCAGCGTTTTGTAGAGTTACGCGAGATCGAATGCTAGCCTTGATTCTTAAAACATTTGAATAAGTTGCTAATGCATTCATTGCTTCGCCTTTTTGGCGAAACTGACTTTTTTTTTTCATTCACAGATATACTGCAAGCCGCAAAGCCCAAGCAAGAGTGGGAATACAAGAGCATCAAAACACTGCCCAACAAAGGAGGATAACAATCAATAATTCTAACAGAATCCGAAATAAGAAATGAAAGCAATACAGGTGGCGAAAAGGCAATACAAATAAATGAGTTTGAATACAGTAACAGTAAAATAAATTATCAACTGAGTGAAATAGCACCAATTTTTATTAAAACCAGAAAAAGAGGTTGTTTTACAAGATGGAGGAGGCACTCAACTGTGCTAAGGACAATAGTTGGTCAGGAGACAGAGTATTGCAACCTGCAAATATTCATGTAAAAAATAAGAATTGAAATACATTTGTTCTGGAAAAACAAATAGTTATAGAAAGCATAAAGAAGTGTGCATTTAAGGGCTCGTTTTCTTTGTTAGACATAATATTAATGCGATATAACAGATATATTATGCCAAAAAAGGTATAGGTGACGGTATTAGGAGTAATTATAATAAAAAATGTGGAAAAAAAAAAGTGGACAAAAAGATAACTTGCCGTGAGCAGGGACCAAATTTGCGACTTTTTGAATAATGCATCTGATGCTTTACCAACAACTGAGCTCTTAAATGGGCGGCCATCCCCCCCTCCCCCCCCACTTTATGGCGTACATATGTGCATTCGACAGAGCGTCAGTGAGCACCACCAGTAGCCATGACGGTGAGTGTGGAACACTCTTTATCTGCCTGTAAGGCGTCATGTAGCATGTGAACTTATTACGAGCTGGCAACTGACCAATAATCCCTCGTGTACTACCTGAAGGCGCCAAATCTGCCAGAACAAGCGTATGTGTATTACGAGTGCGCTGCAATGAAAGTGGAGTAACTACGATGCTGGGTCAAGCCCGAGATTCCCATTGAGCTAAGAATACAAAAGCTTTAAACGCTGATCCTTGCGACAGGAATGCAATTGAGAAACCTGTTGTGATCCCATAAATGACAAACTGACACTCCTGAGAATGACTTTCAGGTAAAGGCCGATCAAGGTCCACACTTTTCTATACTGAAAAAACAGGAACCTTTTCTAAGAGCTACATAGATAGCATCCTAGCCAACATGCAATGCTTTCTGATAGTCATGTGTGTTACAGTGGTTTGTCACTCTTTATACGTGGATAGTGAGCCGGGTGGTCTTTCAGTGTGGCAGGATAATGTGACAACATTAATAAAAATATTATTAAAAAAGATAGCTGCAAAAGAATGGATGATGTGATGGCATCAGCAAATTTGCAGAACTTGACAGAGATACTGATGCGAGGCAGGTAAAGAGAGAATGTAGGGTTGGGTGTGTTGGTACAACATCATTAAGAGTGCATACCGGCGCAATCGACAAGAGCGAAAGGAATAGAGAATTGTGCCTGTGGCCTCTTTTCTGTCCTCTCTTGTCTTTAGCACTGATATGCACTCAGGTAAGGTAAATGGAGGTTGCTTTAAGAGAGCATTGTCTTCCTATCAAGAATAGACAAATAGTATGTTCAGAATTTGAAGCGAATTGAGGTGAATACCGTATTTACGCATATAATAAACGCACTTGCATAATAAATGCACCCCCAACTTCAGTCGTCAAAATTTGGACTTTTTCCCCCCTCTGAAAAAACGCACCCCCCCCCATTCATCCGCTGCAGTCCCACTAACCGACAACTGGCGCCTCCTTACCCGCTGGATCTCTTCCGTTTTATTACCCCCCTCGGCCACCTTGGCTCTCTCCTTCCCCCCTTCGTCCGATGCAGTGTACCACATTGTTCTTCTTTCTATCTGTGCGCAACACATTCGCTGTCTTTTTTTAAATTATCATTATTCGTGTGCCACAGCAGGGTTTACGAATAGTGAGAGTGTAGAGACATCTCAGCTGATAAGCACACAGCAAGCGAATGTCATGAAACTGCCCGTGCCAACCGACGGCGTCGCAGGTTTCTAGAAAAGCAGAAAAAAATCACTTATCACCCAGAAAAGATCGTGACGATTTCCGCAACATGGTAGCATCCCCAATTCTCACTTATTCTTCGCGCGTGCATAAACTTCTCAAGTGGAAGCGAGGCGATGGCCCTATTTTGCATAAAGTTAAAATGGTATTTTGTCGTTATTCTTGTTATCAATGA